CACCTCTGTCTTGGCTCTGCTGCCGTAGCGCAGACCTGCCCCGCGGAGCCTGACGGAGTCGTGTGTTTGTATAAGTTTGTGTCAATGTGTCTTTTTGTAACTCTGTGTCTTTTTGTAACTCCGTGTTTTTTTGTAACTCCGTGTCTCTTTGTAACTCCGTGTCTCTTTGTAACTCCGTGTCTCTTTGTAACTCCGTGTCTCTTTGTAACTTTGTGTCTGGCAGGCGCCGGTGGTTGCAGCCTGACACTGTCGTGACTTAAAAGCAGAGTGAAGTCGTTTGGGTAAACTAAGGGAAAACGTCTCAAACTTTTGTTGTCTCACGATTTTAGGGGCGTGCAGAAATGACTCCCTTCGAAAATAAAGGACTAATACTGGGCATAATGGCAGGGACGGCTGGATTGAGCCTGGTGCTGATTATGTACCGCAGGATCCGAAAACCCGGCGCGGCTGTGTGTGTCCGAGCGTTCCAGGGTGTAGGTAACAGGCTTAACTCTGTGGGCTTGCAGAATGAGGCTCCTAACGAGCAAGGAGCAGTAATGGTTTTACACGGAAGACAACTGCAGATACTGGAAAAACTGAATGGCCTGCTGCTAAGTGTGGATGAACTGAAGAGAGAGGTGGAATTCCTGAAAGAAGCTCTTCCAAAGCTTGAGGAACTTGTCCGAAATGAGCTTCAAGGGAAGGGTGATGTTCAGAGAGTTAGCCCATCACACAGAGCAATGCGGCGGAGAAAAGCTGAGACAGCTTCTGGTGCGAGAGAAACTACCAGCTCTGAGGAGGCGGAAAGTGAAGGAGGGTGAGTTAATAATTTGTATAAATTACAGTACACCTGCAGTGCAAATTGCATCATTACCTTTGTGAAACTGTAAACACGAGCCCTTTTAAAGTTTAATATGGATATTAAAATTCTCGATTAAAAATACAAAAACTCAGTTTAACAATTTTTAGATCACAGAAGACTCTTGGTGGCCATCTCTGAATCTATACTATGGCTGAAGTTGGCTTAATGCCAAGCACAATACAGATTTTCTTTTTTTTTTAGAGTGTGTTTGGTAACAATCTGATGTAGTATTGCTACATACCTATGCAATGAGAGGCAAAGTTCAGAATAATGGTGTAAGTTTGAAAGTGCTCCTAGTAAGAAAGCAGTCTTGTGTCTTTGACAGAATTTGTTCAAACTGTACAGATGCTCCTCTGCTTTTCATCATAATTGTTTTCTATGGGCCTCACAGATTTATTATTATTATGAGTGTTTTGGCTAGAGGTATTGAACAATATGAAAGCTATGTCCAAATGGAACACAAGTACAGGTGGCTTTGTTTATATACATTTGCTTTCTGGTGGCTTAAAAAGTAATCATGAGAGATTTAGGGTGCTGACTCTGTAAGGTTGAAAGTGTCTTCACATCTTGATGTCCTGTTGTGGTTAATGAGATCTTTTATACTTGTGAGTTGAGGAACATGCTGAAGGACCAGATGTACCTGGAGTCCAGGAGAGGGACTGTATTTTTGTCTTTTCAAATGTTACCTAATATACCCTCCAGTAGTACTGTGAAAATGGTGATGACATTACTCTCCTGTAATTGCAACTTTGTTTTGATATAATCAGATTAAGTACTTATATGCAGTTTAGTAAGAGTATGTTTATAACAGTGGAGGTTTTTGAACCGCCTCCTCAGGGTGTCTTACATATGTGTGTAGGCAGCATTATGTCTGCAAATTGTCTATCTTATGTCACTTTCTTCTTTAAAGATATATTAATTAACTGTAATATTCTGAAGAGAGTAACATATGCCATACAATAATCAATGGAATTCTATTTTCAGAGTTTCTCCACATTTATTTTCAGTTCTTGTGAGCAAAATTTCTTGCTGTGCTACATCCCAGCCCACATGCTTCACAAGCCTTATATTTTGCTACCATATTTTAAGACCTGTTTGTTCTATTATGAACCCATTCTTTATTCTAAGTATTCAGTATTGGCACAGGTATTCAAAGACATTCCTCCTTCATCTGGTGTAGGAACATTTCAGTTCTATTAGTTTCTCGGATTATTTTATCCTTCGGTTGGTTGCAGAGGCCTTTATGCTATGCATAAAGTATTTGGAGATGTAGATAAGGCTAAGGGACCAGTTTATGAGTGATCAGGTACCACAGATGCAATATAGGGGTTATTCCACACCTAGTATTTGAGAAAATACTGTTTTCTGGGCAGGAGAGACATGTTGCTGTTTGAGAACTAGTCAGGATAACTTGTGTGTTCAGGTGGTTCTGTGTGACAAAGAAGTTGATGAGATGATCCACTCCAAGTGATTACAGTGTGCAAGAGCATTGAACGTGTGCTTAAGAGAGGCCTTCACTGACAAGTATTTGTGTACAGTCAGAAGGAAGGAAGATAATTTGAGGTTATAGTTAGTGTTAGTCATTCGGTATGTACTTTTCCAATACTATTTTTGATCCCTTTTGAAAAGAGGTTGTTCTTTCCCCACTAACACCTTGTACTTGATGTGTTTGTTTTGCACATCTTCTCTAAATTTAAGATAATTTTATTTAACTTTAGTAATTATATTTTTTTCTTCCTCTTGCAAATAGGTTTTTAATCCTAATGTATGTACAGTTGCAATATATATTGCTTTTTCTGAGGTCTTCTGCAACTTTAATGACTGTGGTGTGTGTTCTGTGAGAGTTTGCCAGGAGACTCAATAGCAATACACCTTTTTTTTTTTTCCCAGTTAATGTACATCACCTTCATATGCTGTAGCTATAACACCATGTGCATTGTTTTATACTGTTCTGTGGTGAACTCCACACACAATAATACATTCAGTTCCTAGTTTGTGCACTAGAGAAATAATTTTGCTCTTTGTTACAGATAAAGTATTTATCACTTCTGTACTCCATCTAAAGTACATGCAATGTGTTTCACAGCCTCAGCAGTATTTTAATGATCTAGATGATAGGCTTTTGCTTGTGTTAAGCACTTCTGAATTTAACTGACAAATAGGTAGTTGCTGGGATTGACAGATAAAGTAATCTCAAGAGTTTTATGGATTAGTGCTGGTTGCCTACATTGGTTTCAGGTTTGTAAACTTCTGCCAGAAAAGCTTTTAGTACTACCTGCTTTTTTGTTCCTTCTCATGAAATATTTGAAGCTGACAGTCTCTGATATGGCCCTTACTGCTTTGATATGCTCTGGTCATAGTCTCAATGTTACTGTTGATATTCAATACCTTGGAAAGAGAAGCTTGCCATTTTGCCTTTCAAAATATGCATGTTCCTGTAAGTGGAAAAATACCACACGCTTTTTAATAAATGAGATGTATTTTTACATAGTAACAGGTACTCTGAATGGAAGGTACATTGAATGGATGTGACACTGAAGCTCAACAGGTTTCTAGTCTGTGCTTTTCTGTATTCTGTTCTTGGTTTTGGTTTCCATAATTAGCTAGTGAAAACTTCAATCTTTAACATTCGAGAATACATAACAAGAATTCATTTATTTGCAAATACAAGAAATTGTCTAGATGATGACTTGGGATGGAAAGTGTCTCTGAATTCTCCTCCTTGTGATTTTCAAGCTGTTTCCTCCCTGATATGGAGGTGATGAACCATTGGCCATCAGTGTCATATTTGGCACAGGTTTTGAGCTGGCCTTCAGCTGGCCTCCAAGTTTTGCAAATTGCTTTTGCATCAGTCACCAGCAGGATTCACCGCAGTAAATTCTTTTCCGACAGATGTTCTATTTATAATTTTTCCTTGAAATAGTTTAAATATTCCTCAGGAAGAAACTTTTCCCTTGTCTGCTTCCAAGTATCACTTCACTTGTAATTTCTCAGTTTATTTAGCTGCTCATTTCTTTTTAATGCAACCCTCAGTTGGCCTAAGAATCTGGTTTGCCAAACTTTTCCTCAAAGGCCACTTATCATTACTGATGGATATGCACTTTGCTGGATCATACAGTGCAAATTTGATCCAAATCAGTCTGTGACATACAATCACCTTTCTATTGAATTAGTCAGACCAGGTGAGACTCTGTGTGTGTGTGTGTGTCAACATGAGACTTTTTTAAACTGGCAGGGAGACCACAGATGATATTTGATCTATGTGAAAGCTGAAGTGTTGTGAACAGATTTTACCTGGTTAGGCCCAGTGTCTGCCAGTTTACAGGCAACTCAACACAGGTTTTGAACCAACAAAGTGCATTGATACCACAGCTGTGTTTTATACCTTGTAACTCAGGGGATTTTTATTCCAGTACTAGGTGCTGGAATTTACTGAACTGCTTAACCACAGTGAGGGTGAGTCTCCAGCACAGCTGCCATTTGCTCTTTGAACTTTGAACAGTCTGTTGTGATACTACTGAGTCCTGTTGGTTGATCATTGCTCCTCACATTCTTATCACTGTTTATCTCTTTTATTTAAAATCTATTGGTAATAAAGGTGAAAACAAGTTGGCACTGACTTTAGACATTTTTAAAGTTCTTCCATTTTCTCAAATATTGATCAAGATGTTTATCACATGTAAATAGTCAGTTTTCTATTTATCATCTGATGAAACCTCTTGCAGGAAAATACTAGGCAAATTGGCAGATTTGTTATATGGAATATTTGTAAACAAATCATAATGACACTTCCTTGTTTTCTGTTCATTTCCTTTCTTGGATTATTATCATCTGGAGTTTTTAAGCTCTGTTAAGAAGAACCTCCACTTGTGTTTGTGTTAGTACTGATTTTTTTTATAGCACTGCTTTAGAATGAGTAGTTATATAAGACTGTTTGCTGCTTTGTTAAAGTCAGTTATCAGTCAACAAGTAAATTGAAATTTATGGCATTCTCGTCAAGGTTTAAGATGGTCTGTTCCACATTCAAATTCTATGAGGATTCATAAAGCAGATAAATAGAGGAGGTAAAAGAGAATTTCCCAGGACAGTGGAAGTGTGAGGGAGTGATGAAGGAATGACCTGTCCTCTCTGCTGTTTCTCAGCACAAATATATCCTAGAGATCATGTTTCTGTAGAAGAGATGGGGTGAGGAAAGTCTTGATGCAGTATGGTCTAATCCTACAAGATTGCTCCATGATATTTTAAAATTAGCTCCTTATGGGTTCACATCATCACATCTCTTTGAGTCTCCCAATAAATATTCCCATATGACTTATCTGATGTCATATGAATTTGATGTTTGGCCTCAATTTGATGTTTAATCATGACAGTTTGATACAATGCTGCTGGAAATCTCTGCTGGGCTTGTTTGGACTGACAGCCCAACGGGCTTGGCTGTCAGCCCAACCTTGGCCTTTATATTTTTGCTGGGAGAGTAACATGTTATAATAATTGTTTTGGTTTATTTTCTAATATTGGAACAGTGGTGATTGTAGAAATTTCAGCAGATGTTTATGCAGCAAAGACAAAGAAGACAATATCAATATTGATTTTCAAACACTGATTCCTTACTTTGATATCTACGTGATTAGGTAGCATTTGGTGGAGTGCTAAAATTCCTGTAACTGAGGAAATTGCCTTTACTGCTTAGTTGTTGCTTTTTTTGTATTTTACAGTGCTCTTTTTGGTTCGTAATTGTGCAAATCCTCAGTGCATTTATCTTTTAATTAGGGGGATTGGGACATCCAAACCTAGTGAGAAAAGATACTTTCCAAACATACTCCACATCATAGGATTCTATATTGTAGCTAAAAGACTGACCTCTCCCAAAATAATCCCTTGCACTGTTGGTCAAGGTAAGGCTCTTACAAATGCAGCCTATGTAGCTCTGCACTCACTTCAAAATAACTAGTGAAGAACAAGACACTGTGTTTTTAAAGATGCTCCAGAACATTAAAATAAGTGTTCAGTAACTGAATATAGTCTCTGCAGGATACAGCATAGATGCGTCATCAACTTCAGCATCAAGGTTATGTAAAACAAATCTGTAGGAATCTATGAAGGTTCCCATCTCTCTTCTGCTCCATGTCATTTTTCAGTTTGAATATCTGCACATAGTTTATGTATGTATTGTTCTATCCAATTGTGTTTTTGACTCCTCTTTCCCATATTACTGGGCTAGTTTTGAGCGAAACTGTCATGCCACATCTAGCACTTCTGGAGCTTGATAAGCTGTTGTACTTGTTCATTTACAGGCTCTAAGTGTATCCGCTTGTGCTTCGGTTCTCAACACTTCGGAAAGCAACATATTGAAAACAGAATATTTACAAGCCATCATTAGTAATCTCCAGTTATTCTGCCAACACTCTGTACTGGTTATATTTATGAAAAAAGAAAGAAAAAATTTGTATTTTGACAGTCATGACCTGCTTTGATTACTCAATTATTTAATGTGTACAGTACATTTCATGCTTTTTCTGGTCACAGTTACCATTTAAAAAAATCTCTGAACCTGGCAGCTAATGCCTTTACATTATTATTTCTCCCAAGAAAAATATTTTCAAACGTGGAAATACAGAAGATGAGGCTTTTCTCTCCATTTTTAGTACATAAGCAAAAAACTGCATTTTAAAAGCAGTGCCATCATCTGCTCCTCTATGAAATTGGAGTATCCTAATGTATGCTCAGCACTTTGAACAGTAAGGCCACCTACTTATCTCTGCGTGGTATTTATGCTTTTGTAAATATTTCTTTGTCCTTGACTGCCTTGTGCTGAATACTTGTGCACTAAGCATAAATGAAATAATATGAGCTCTTTCCCAGCTGCAGATATTCTGAACTTCAGAATGCTCAAAAGAAATAAACTCAAAAGAAATAAGAAATAAGGAATCAATAATGATAGTGCTATTTATATTGGCTAATATTTAGATCTTACAAGTGTTTTACAAAATATTGTATAAGTGATTCTCATAGCACTTATATTTTGGTTAGTAAGCTCATTCCTATTTCAAAAAATAGAGAAATTGAGGTAAAGAGTTGAAGAGGCCTTTTCAGGGTTACAGAGCATGTCTTAAAACACACTAATGGTTAAAAAATTCTGCATTTGGAACACAAGGTTACATGTGTTTCTAATACATGTCTGCATTTTTTATTGCAGTATTAGGCATCAGGACAGTTTAATTACTTGCTTGTTATGTTTGGAATTTGATAATGCTGTCCCTTCGAAGATAAAGGTTTGTAATAATAACAATAAGCTTGATACCATGAAAAAATAATCCTTTAAGGTTGGATAACTGGGAAAAGTTGCACTCTGATATTTTTGAATATGAATTTAACAATGCTTTACCACTATTTTTAGAAAAGATGGTTATTATTTTCTGTGATTTTAGTTACCTCACAGCTCATACCGATTCTGAAGGAGACTCCGAAGAAGAAAAGAGATGTATGAAATCAGCTGATGCCATGGTGAAATCAGAAGATGATGAGGAGTTATGTAACTTTTTACAGCAGGTGGACAATTTGCACAAGGGTTCAGAGGATGACAAGAAGGAGGGCTTCAGACTGCTGCTTGAGAAAGATAACAAGGTATAATGGGTGAATTTAATATTACATTGCCATTAACTTACCCTTTCCACTGCTTTTGAGATTTTAATGCAAGCATTAAAATGCACACAGAAATAGAAGATCAAATTTCAAGCATACTTTTAAATACAGTGAAAAAGCAATTTTCAAGGTGGTGTCAATATTCATGCTGTGTGGACGTAGAAGTTTTGCTAGTTTATATCCCATTCGGGCTCAATAAATTTGAGGCTTTGTTTGATGTAGGTATTCCTGCATGTGTTAAAGAAAGATCATGGGCTTTTTACTGTGTAAAGGGTACATACTTTTGCTGGTTTTGGAATAGTCTGTGTGAGAAAATTCTGTGGAATTAAGTAGCAATCAGACCCAGGAAATCGAATTATGAGCCTCTAGCCTGCTTATACCTTTCTAATGTATTTCATGTGAATTTTTCCTTGAACTTTACTGTGTATGTATGGAACTCCAGGTGAAATTTAGAAGTGGTTTGATGTGCAGTGTTTAATTCAGTGTATCATTTTCTTCTGGTTTGGCAAACATTAGTTCTGAGTATATTTTAATTTACATATTGGAATACCCAGAAAGGTAGATGAGATACTAATTGTGAGTGAGCGTGGTGCTTATGGCCTCCCTAAAGAAAATATACATCACCTCATTGAGGCATCCATTGTGCTTTTCCTGGATTACCTTTTTGATTTTTGTATTGAAAGAACTTTAAACTGATTTATAAAATAAAACCTCTAGAAAGCCTAGGGTGTTTTCAAAAGCTGTATTCTCCTTCATTTGGGACAAGTTGGTCAATTGCTTCTCACATTAACCAGAAGTTTAATGTAGAAGGATGCAAAATAAACAAAAAATTCCACCATGTTCTGATAACTTGCTTTAAGCATTATGAAAGTAAACTGTTTAAATCACATTCTGATCAGTTTAATTATGCAGCTGTCTTCCACTTTCAGTATGAAAACTGTGTGGACTTTCTTTGGAGACTTGCACGTGCTTATGGAGATCTGTTTGAGATGACTACTGATGCTGAGGAGAAGAGGAAATACGTTATTGATGGTAAGCAGAGGAAAAATGCTTACGTAGATGCCATCCAAATGTAGTGAAACATGCTTTGAACTTTGGTGAAGTTTTCCAATGAAAGGAATTTGCAATCCAATAATTGGGAGATTTGTACTGTAATAATAATGTTTGTGCGATAAACTGCCACAATATACAACTTCATTCTTTTCTCACTGAGAGATCCAAAATCAGTGAAGGGGAAGTATTGTGGGTCATAATCAAAGGCTGTTGACTCTGGATAGTGCCTTAAAATCCTGTATTTTGTTGAGAATCAGATGAATACAGAATGTGAAAAAATCCAGGTGCTTTCAGCACAGTTTTTTAATTACACCTTTGGGATAGTAAGAGGAATAAATAAATGCTGAGGCAAGGTCAAGGTTTGTTTTTCTGCTTTCCTGTGGCAAGAAACACTCCTGCATATCAGCAGCTTCTTTTGTGGTGATGGGGATGAAACTGTAAAGCTGGAGAAATTCTTGACCAGAAACTGGAGTCATATATGTGAATTATTACTTCCAGGCATTTCTCCCCATGTGTCCTGTTTGACAGCTTCACCTACAAAAGGTTCCAATTTTCTTCTTCACAGCATTTTTTCTTTGTTGCTTTGAAAAGCATTGCCCTTTCATTCAGTGTCTGGGTGCATACTGACTAGTGGTATGGTTTATACTTTTTTTTTTTTTTTTTTTGGCCTTCTTTTTATTACATTAAAACCTACATCTTTTCTGCCTGTATCACTCCCCTCCAGTCAATGCAATGTTCTAAAAATGATACTTTTTGCCTTTATCTGGGAGTACTTCTCCATCTCTTTTGTTTCTCCATTGCTTCCCCCTTTTTTTGGTGTACCAAATCAGGTTTTATAAATATGTTCCCAGTTTGGGTTATTTTGTCTTTTGTGACACTTTGAGTCAACTTTTTGTTCTGTCAGCAGTGAGTAAACTTTTTGTTCTGTCAGCAGTGACAACATCACTGACAAAGCAGGTCTGGTTGCCTGTTGTCATCCCTAAAGGCAGTGTCATGACTTTAAGCCTGTCGTTACATATTGCATAGCCAATCTCATCTTGTCCAAGTTCCTTCCTTGTTGCTATTTTTTTGCCATCTAAATGTTCATGAAGACTTGCACTGCCTTAACTACTTAATTGTTACTGCCTTTGCTTTAGTAGCAACTTGGCTTCTTTGTGTGGAAATCCCACTGTTCAGTGAGCATTATGACACAAACTAAATTACAACAGTAAATTTTGTTGTCAGAACCTTTGCTTTCACCAGGGTCCACATGTAGCCTCAGCTGATGAGAGACAGTGGCATAGCAAAAGCCTGGGAGAGGTGAAGAGTGATGAAATGTAATTGGGTCTTAGGTGTTGAGTAACCAGCCTAGTTTGGCTCTTCCTCATGAAGTGGGGGTGGCAGCAGAGCCTTTTTCATCTCAGTTTTTGGAAGTGGTGCAGAGGGATTGAGACTGTGGGGGAGCTGGCAGTAGTTTTGTGGTTATTTTTCATTCCACTGGGTTGGAGGACTGTGTATGCTATTCTTTGTTTTTATGAAGTTAACTTGCGATACAGAAATGTCAGTGCAACTTAATTGGTTGCAGCTGAGACTCCACAAACAGCAAGCATCTCATCTGAACTTCTTTCTGGGAGCATGGGTTTGATCAAATCACCTACTGTCATCTTTATTCAGTTAAAAGTGGGACTTAAGAGAAGTCTTTGTGCTAGAAAGGAACTTCAACTAGTTCGTTCCAGTACCCAAGGCAGGAAACAGCTTTGCTGGTTCTTCCAACAGGTGCTTCTCTAACCTGCTTATGAGGCTCTTCAGTCTTACAGAAGCCTTACAGAAGTCTTACAGCCTCCTTTGACAGCCCAGTCCAGTGCTTCTCTGATTTAACTGCATCTGAACTGGATTTTAAGGGAAAATACTAAAATTGCACATATATAAATGCACATACTTATATGTGTATTTATGGCTATGTAAATGATGTAAAGCCAGGATGTTACATTTTCCATCTAAATGTTTACAAGAACAGGAAGCAATTTCTTTGCTGCTAGAGTATATCAGGTGGATTTGGTCTTGGGAGTTGCCTAAAATGTGGAAGAGTACAATAAATCCTTTAATATATTGTACTCCATTTGCAGGAAAGATCAAAGCTGAAAAGGCTGTTCAGATGGATGCTAGGAGTGCTGAGAGTCACCAGTGGTAAGTTTGAGAATGAGCATTTTTACAAACTTGTGTGTATTTATCAAATCCAACAAAAAAAAGGGCTGCCTTTGGCTCTAAACAGTGCCCACAGCAAGTTACATTTATCATACTGCAGTTCAATATCAGTTTAATAAATTATTCATTAATATTTCTTCATAGCTTTTTGGAACTCAATTATCCTCAGTTGCAGCTAAAAATTGCATTGAAGTATTCTGTGAAGTGCTTACTAAAGCATATGAAACAGCTCAATCACCATACCTCAATGAAATGCAGAAGGGAGCATTTGTTTAAACCAGAATATCATTGCTCAGAGAAGCCATAGTTTTCCATTTACCTTCCCTTTCAACAATTCACGAAATAATGTAATTTAACCTTGTATTTTGTCTTTTCTTTTTCTTGTAATAATCTAAATTCTAATGATTAAACGTAGACATAGAGGGCTATGGAAATTTCAATTAACATCATACTTTTTGTTTTCTCATATCATTTTCCTCCAAGCTTGCCCCTTAGTTTAATTTTGTAGACTTTGCCAGAACTAACAAACTCTGCAAATGTAAATACTTGTTATCAAATCAAAATTATCAGGTAAAAGATAATTCTGTCAAGTTCTAGCTGATAGTTCCTCACCTTACTATTTTATTAGTAAATTTTACTGAGCTCCTGATTTATTTTCTAATATTGTTAGCTTTTCCTTTGCATTTTGGTTTCTATGCTCTTCATTAATTTTGTCATTATACATGTAGAGTGGGATTTCACTAAACATTCACATATCTAAACCAAATACTTTTATCCCAGGCTCCTTTCACAATTTAAAAAGAAGCAGCTACTTCTGGAGTGCAGTTCATCTGAGTCCATTTTGCCCATTTTGTCTTGCATGAGGGCAAGATGAAGGCCTCCCAAATCTCAGTTGACAACATCTCCATTGTCAATGAAGGGAGCATATGTCAGCCAGCTCAGGTTTAGGTACAGATTTATATCTGTATCTACAGGCACAGATGACAGAGATACATTAGTCACAGATAATTTAATTAGGTGACTCTCTGGCTTGGTTTCTCTCTTTCTGAAAGCAATTTACAGCCATTTCTGCTCTTTGCTTGACCACAGCCAGTTACTTCTTCAGGGTAATGCTGATGTACCCCTCTCAGACAGAGCTGTGTGTACAAACAACCACATGCAAGTATGAGCCCTGCCCCTCCCTTCCTTCCCAGCTCACAAGGCTGACAAAATATCCTAGTATAAATACAACTTCACTGGCAGGAACTGTGCTGATAAAGCCTTACACGTTGTTCAGGGAGATGTAGGTGGTCTGCTGGACTTCAGATGTGAGACCTTGTACTGGCAGACACATCTTGCAGGGGAAGAATTATGAGTGTAAGGAGATGTGTTCCAGAGGTTAGCTCAGAAGGCCTATTTGAGAGGTTTAAGAAGAAAATCTCATGTTTTGGAAGCTACTGCTTCTTGTAACAGGCAATGGATTTCCGTATGTTTTACAGCTTTAGTCTTTTTGTGTCTGGGTTGCAAGCGAATGTGAGGGTTTAATCAGTTATTGTTGAACTGGTGGCTTTCCAGTGGTACAGATGGACACTACAGATTTGAACAGTTTGCTATAGTTTTTTTTCTGAATACATTACCTGCTTGTCTTTATTTTCTGAGACCTTTCTGACTTAAAGCATGATTTCTAAAGCATGATGTCCCATAATGGTTATGCCTATTTAACTGAGGCTCAGAATACTGGGCAGAATGGACTTTCATGCTCCAGAGGGGCATTGGTATGTTTTTGTTGAGCATCACAACTGTTGTTCAGTCTGGTCCCAGCAGATCATTTTCTGCTGTGCTGCTACTTAACCAGATGGACTTGTTTTGCAACTGTACATTTCTATTTTGTTCTTTCTAGAGTGTTTTACACACATTTCATTTATTTCCTGTTGATTTCATGTTTATTTCAGACCATTTCTCGGGTTTATTGAGGCCATTTAGGTTTGTAAATGCATCTCCTCCCAGATTACCATTTTAATTAAAAAGTGGTTTGTTGTTGTTTGATTTTTTTTTTTTTTCTAAAATCATTGACTTCATTAATGAAATTACTGGAAGATAATGGACCAGCACTAAAATGTATGGGACACCTATAATGATGCTCAGGTTCACATGAACCTGGTTCTGGAACCATCTCTATGAGTGGTTTAATCTAAACAATATTTCCATGGTTAGATTTTTGAGAAACATCAGGTAGGAGAATGTCAAAGGCCACATAAAATTCAAGGTATATCCCATTTGTTGCATTCTTCTAATATTCCAGGCTTGTTTATCTTGTCAGGATTTTTTTTACACTGTTTGTTCACAAAACCCCCTTGTGTTAACTGTTTTGTATGCTTATGCACTTACAGAATAATTTATCCTGGAATGTCTTCAGATTAGGCTGGTTTGCCTGTAACCCTTGTCCTTTCCTTTCCATAGATAGCAACTATGTTTACCTTTTCCCTTTCTGTTAGGACTTTGTGCATTACCCATGAGATTTTGGTAGTCAGCTATACAACAGATCTGGATTGTTTGAGTCTGGCCTCATGCAAATTTATCCAGTTGATCTAAACATTATTTCGCATGTAAATCCTCATGAACAGGAAATGAGACTTCAGGAAATCTTCCCTGTAGAAACTGTGCTCTTGAAGTTGCTTGCAAACAGAATTTTGCCCAAAGTCATAAATAAATAAGACTCTATGTGAACAGAAAACAATGCAATGCAATTAAGTAATGAATAAGTAATATGTGAAAGTAATATGAAATTCATAGCTAATAAGGACAATAAGAGAGGAAATAAAACTGAAAGGAAAAATAGAACAAATATCTATTAAAAACATGTGCTGGGATCACTAGCCCATGGTCACTTAAAGAGCAATGGCATACCACCTTTGCCCAAGTTCAGAGATGAAGGGCAGTACCCAACTCCAGATCGACACCTAAATGAACTGTCTCTGTTATATATGTCTACATGTGAGCAAGGGGCTTGTCCTCCACTTACAGGGGATGGAGAGTTGATAAGCAGCATGTGCCATTTGATGTGCCAGGGTATTTGCATGGTATGGCAGATACCACACAGGACCTTTGGGGATCTGTGCATTTCCAGGCCAGCAGCTGGAAGTGATGGGAAACCCTAGGACATCTCCAGTGACAGTAGGCACCTGTGTCCAGGCAAGGATCCTGTGAATTGAGCAGGGTCTCTGCTGGCTGTAAGAGGAGATTAGATGCACAGATGAGAAGCTCAGCATGAATGCAAGCTCAGTGTGAAACTAGTGTTGTCTCAGACCAAAATCCTTCCTTTTCATCTCACTGCCAACATAAATTTTTCTGAAGCTGTATAAGGTAAATAATCTTACCCTATGTAAGATAAGCCCATCTGTTTGTTAGACTGTTTCCCATTTTTCATGTAAGGCTGTGTCATTCTGTATCAGCTACTGATGAGGAAGGTGCCTTTCTGACCTTGACTGAGGAAAGTGTGGGTTGACTTCTTTCTAATCTGTACTTTCTAATTTCTGAGAGGTTTTGATATTTTCAATCAGCACAACTGAGGTTTTAACTTGTGTTTGGTATAGCTGCTATCTATGTTGTTCACTCATGCATTGTTTCTAATGTTCTCTTAAGCTGTTTAATATATTATGACTTCCTAAATGAGTGAGGATTAAATGATAGCCTGTTCTTTTCCTGGTCCTGTTCCTTGTTCTCTATTTACAGTTAACCCCTGGGAGTAGGGAGAATATAAGCAAAGAAGAAATTGAATTCAGCCTTGTTGGTTCCACCTTCTGTCATTATTTTCTCATTGCTAATTGTTCTGTATTTTCATTCTTTTTTTTTTCCTTCAGGTGTATTTATAGAACCTCTTCCTATTGCCATCCCTAGTTTAGATGTGTGCTCTTGTTTTCACTTTTAGGGTCAATTACTTTAGGGTTTTAAAGTCAATGAAGAATTCCTTTATGGAGCTGAATTAGTCTTTAAAACTATTCCCTGCTATGACTAAAGAGTCATTTGCAACTGTGCTTTTGAATGTTATGTCTTAATAATTCTTCTATAGAACTTTTCCTAACATGGCACTTCTTAATGATTTTGTTTTCTTCATCAGAAATGTACACTGTGCCTGTCAAGCAATGATTAGGGCTATGGGCTTATTTGGAAGTTTCTTTTGGAAGCTTATCCCTGCTGCTTTAAAGCTCTCTTCCACAGAAAATAAAGAATGGTCATGTTAGAAGGGATCACAGTGGATCATCTGGTCCAACCTCCCTGCTCAAGCAGGGCCATTCCAGAGCACATTGAATAGGATTGGGTCCAGATAGTTCTTGAATATCTCCAGTCAGGGAGACTCCACAATGTCTCTGGGCAATCTGTTCCAGTGTGTGGTCACCCATACAGTAAAGAAGTTCTTCCTCATGTTCAGGTGGAAATTCCTGTGCATCAGTTTTTGCCCATTCCCTCTTGTCCTACTGGTTTGCACCACCAAGCAGAGCCTGGCTCCATCTTCTTGGCACACTCCCTTCAGATACCTAAAGACATTGATGAGGTCCCTTCTCAATTTTTGTCATTCCCTGACTGTTGTAATTGTTTCCTTAATGCCCTAGTGTAGGTGGAGTTATACTGGCAAAAACATACCTTTTCCGGAGCAGTTTTTTTCTGTTTTGTGAAGCTGCTATAAGCTGCCTGGGAAACAGAACTCATCTTTTGTGTTCACCAGGAGAATTTAGTAGAATGGCTATGTGAGCAAACTCTTGCTAACGTAGGCCTAGAGTTCAGCTGTCTTGCCTTAATTTTCACATTTACTTCAGTTAAGAACAAAAAAGGCCATGTGTCTTCTTAGTATATCACCTTTTTTTTTTAAAAAAATTGTATCATAAAATACCTCTGCAAGGTCCTACACCTGAGTCACAGCATCTCAGACACACCCGTAGGCTGGGAGAAGTCATTGAGTCCCTGCAGAGAGGGACTTGGGCATGACAGTTGATGAAAAACTCAACAATG